AAGTAGGGCAAAAACTACAAAACAACAAATAAAGACTTGGTTATATGTGAAGAAAGATAGAGGAAAACATGAACAGAACATAATGCACTCTTGTCATGTGAAATATTTTATTATATTTTGAGGAGTTAATCCCAGAAAAAATCAGCTTTTGTAATGAAATGGTTTGTGTTGTTCTTGAAAAAGAAGAAAGAAATAACAAATTAATACGAACAGGATGAAATCAGAATAACAACAAGAATTGATTATTACATTTTATATCAGATTGAACCGGACAGGTAGATTCTTTGTGATAGTCTACAAATAGTGATAAAGAATGAATGTTGAATTGAAGTAAAAAAATATTTATACGCAGACATTGGGCCAGACAACTTTTTTGTGTTTTCGTTTGATTACAATCCAAAGGAGTAAAGTAAAGATAACAACTGTTGGCAGTACAATAAATGTGAATGTGTTGCTGGCACATTCGTATATAAAAATGGTGTGTTGGTTCGCACTTCCTCAGAATTGTCGAACTAGTGTGAAAGAGTCGTTATAACCTCATTTGATGTGATGCTTTTTGAACATATGAAATAACATGATACAAACGACAAAGACGTCTTTGGGTTCGATGAAAAATCAAGTCAATTGTGAATATTCGACCAACCTAAAACGGTAGAAAAACTCCAATTGATCAATATGAAGCCTTTACATATAATTAGTGTCTGGCTCAAACAAATGCCCAAGGGATATTTAAACAATTTTTCGAAGAGTTTGTGAGCTTAAAAATGAATGGCACTTAAAGTAAAACATTAATTATCCTAATTGCTTTTTCTTTTTTTATTATTATTGTAAATAACACTAATATAATGAAAATATATATCATATAATATTATTTTATCATTGAAGGTTAATGTTAATCTTATTTAATTGTTGTACGTTAATGTATTTATTGCCAGTCATTTGATTGGTCAAATTGCGTTTCTTTTTAGTTTAATTTGTCATTATTTCAGACCTTTTTGAGGCAAATTTACTACATTTTAGGGTAAATAATTGAAATCCCCGAAATGTAGCTATTTATCATTATAAAAAATACTGCTAATTTATCGTATTTACAATAAAAATAAAGTAACACAAACGTTTTCAAATAAAGTGGAGTATGTTTTGACATGTTTAAAAATAATGTTAATAGTTTTTAAACAATTAACTTGAACCATTTAAATCAAATTATTTCATTTAGAGCAATGTCTATTCGTATATATAAATCAAATTTAAATTATTTTATGATATAAAGAGTTAATACCTTAAGGATAGCTTACAATGATAATCTATAAAAATAACTCTTCGAATTTTGCTTTGTTAAAATTTGCCAATACATGGAAATTTTATTGTCACTAAATTTATTGATAAAAATCGCGCTTTCTTCGCTTTCGACAATTTCTTTTTCAATTTCACCATTTTAATTAAAAATGTATTTTATTTCACGAATCATCACAACCTCATTTTGTCGAAAATGTACACCAAATTAGTTTTTGTTTGTTTTTGGCTGTAATTTACTCATTAAAAATTGACTCATTCCAGTTAAAACAATAATGTTTTTATTAACTTCCTGTTTTATTTGTTTTGTTTCAGTGTTAACCAAAGTTGTGTTGCGCCCAAGTGTTGGTTTCTTCGATGTTTTATTGTCAATTATTATGTGTTTAATGAATTTGTTTTATTTTTTGTTATTTGTTTGTTTTTATTTAAAAACAAGTCTGGTTTGTTTTTCTGTTCATCAGACCATATTAATACATTTGTTGGAGTCATTGTGTCTCTGTTTAAAAAAAGTAATTGAATGATTTTTTGTTAACATTAAAACGGTAAAAAAAAATTCAACCTGCCAAATGACAACTGAATTCAAAAAAAAAACTATAATTAATTAATTGATAAAATTGGTTTTTAACTTGAAAACTTATCTTTGAGCAAGCTCTCCTAATGTCAATTATTAATTGTTATTTTTATATATTATAAGTACAAATATTTATGTGAAGTCATTAGTAAAAACTAAAATTAATATGTAGAACTTTTTGATTTAATAGTAATTTTTTAAATAAATTGCGATTTTTTTTCACTTTTGTAATTGTGACTCATTATCAATTATGTTTTCTTTTTTAAACTTTTTTCAAAGTAAATTCAATTCTTTTTTTAAGTTCTTTTGTTTCATTTTTAATTATTCGTAAATTTCTTGATTAATATTTAAAATTTTTGTTGTTATTTATTTTTGTAACAAGTAATTATGTTATTGTTATAATTATTATTGAAATGTGTTTATTTGTTTTCTTTAATTATCACAGTTGTTTTTAATCTTTGTTCAATATATAGAGTATCGTGAAAAATCACTGCGGCATGAAATATTACTGCGAATTGTTATTGGGCAAAAATAATGTTATTAAGGGTTTTAAAACATTTTGGGTTAAATTTTTTTGTTATTCGAGGCTGTTAAAACGAAAAACGATAGTTTTGTTCTACAAAATCTTTTGAGGCTAAGTCAAAAGATTGTGCTAAGAGGAAAAATGGCGTTTTTATATACTTTTTATGAGGGTTTTGTTTTTTCCTTTTCCAATTGAAAAACAAAACGGTTTTAAATTTTTTGTTATTACAAAAAGACAAATTCTAAATTATAGTTTCACATATCCAAAAATTATTTTATCAAGTAAAAATTTGTTTTGATATTTTCAAAATGTGAATAAATGTACTAATAATTGATATTGATTTATTCGTTACATCAATTTATGATATATAATTTTATTGAACAGTCGATATCTCTGCCAAAATATGAATACATTTTAACAATAAAGTTTTGCTCAATATTGTATTGTTGTTAAAGATTAAAAATTATAAATAAAAAATCGTTATCATAATTTTAATTACCAAATAATCACTTAACAATATAATTTCATTTCGATGTATAAAGTGAATTCCTTAGTTGCTTTCACAATGATTTGTTATTTGAAAAATCATTACTTAATGTCTTGTAGATGTTTTATGAAAGTCTTTGATTTTTTTAAGTAAAAAATTTAGAGAAAGAATCTAACCCGTCACACCGTGACACAAAAAATGGTTTAAAAACAAAACGAATAAACAATATAATTATCTATTTCATAACAACATCTGTAATATCGAAATCGTTTAGTAAATACTTGACATGTTGGTTGTATGATCACCGACTATTTTGATTGTGGAATAATGTAAAAATACATTCACAATTCACATCAAATAAATCAAACAATGAACTATTATTATAGTATAAATATAATTAAAATATAATAAACAACAAACAAGTAAAATAGTTAAATAACGTGTATTTTTAATTAACATCAATAGCAAAAATTTATAATAAAACAACAATAAATTATAATTTATTTTTTTAAATGTGAAACTATTTCTTAATAATTATTATCATATAATTAAACTAGTCGATTAATTATGGATAATTTTGTGATAAATTATCATTATTTTAAAAGGGTTAATACACCGGAACCCCAAAAACTTAATTCTTTCATAACAACAAATTATTTAAATTTTAAATTGGTGTGATTAAATTATCGACCATTTGAAAACCCCACGCTTGTTAACCGTTTGTTATCATCAAATTGATTTATATTTTTAAAATTTATCAATATGATATGTTTATAACGTGTTTTGTATTTTGTTTATGTTTATTGTATTGCAATTTTTGTTGTTATAATAATTTCGAAGTTGATATATTATTAGATTTTAATAATTCGAGTTGATATTTCTGTGTGTTTTTGTATTATTATTATGTTTAAACATATTGATTATAGTGATAATTTAAGTTTATTCAATAGAGTTTATAATTTGAATATTCACAACAAAAATTAACGACTAGATGAGCATAAATCAAATTTCATATTATGGTGTCCAAAAGGTGGACTATTCATTCAAATTTTCGATGTTTTAATTTATTCGTTTTTGTTATTATGTTTTGATGTATTGTTTTGTATTATAAGTTATAAATTGTTAAAATCAATAAAATAAAAACCAATATATAGTTTGAGTTGTTTGGAATGTTCGGTTTTACGAATTTACCCTTGTTTTAATTGATAGCCATATTATATAACATTTTTCCAAAGTAAATTATTTTTTATGTTTTATAAGCAACGATAACATTATTTTTTGCTCAATAACAATTCGCAGTAATATTTCACGCCGCAGTGATTTTTCATGGTACTCTAGATAAATTTTATTTTTTTGTTAAAATAAAAATTATATACAAAATACAACTTTTATATTAACATATTACAGTATTGAAATTAATTTGTCTTGTGGGAATCATTTTGTCAATACCCACAAATGTTAAATTTTATTTTCATTTTATTACACTCAAATATATATATCAGATTTATTTAGATGTCACCAACTATTGTTCTTTTTGATTAAAAACACCTTTTTGTAAAGAATCAATATACAACAGTAAAAAACTATAAGAAATAAAAAAAAATAATAAAAACCAAGTTAAAAAAATCCATCAAAAACGTACAGAACAGTTCTTTCCAACCTTAATTCTGTTTTCCGAAGTAAAATAGTTACTTCAAATATATTCTCCTAAACAATTACTGAGAAGTCCCACCTCTCAGTAATTAATTAGGCATCACCGTGTAATTATTGTCCGTACTGTGTTGACGAAGACGTAATTTTACTTGCCTGCAAATACAAATTTAATATTTTAAATTATCTATTGCCTATTATTTGAAATAAAAAAATAAATTCGATTTATAAAAGTAATTGTGTTAAATGTTATTTCCGTTTGTTGAGATTTTTAACATTGATATGTATTGTTATTAAAAATATAAACAAAACAAACAGTTGATGCATTGTTTACCACAATTCCAGTGTTCTTGAAAAATCGTATTTTATAAATTAATTTTTAAATTTTAAGTAAAAAGTTTTTTATTTTGAATTGTTCGGTTTATAATTGGAAAGTAGATAAATTAAGAATTTGGAGATAGAACTGAATAAAATATATGGGAAATTATTTAGATTCATCACAACCACAAAAACAAATAAATCTACTTGTAACGGGTCTTAATAATTCAGGAAAAAGAACAGCCATACAAATGTATTGTGAAGCAAATGGTTTTAATTATGATCAACGAATTAATAATTTTCAAATAATTCAAAACTTGGAATTTTCCACATTTAAAGTATTGTTAATAGATTTGGGCGGCAATGAAAGAACTGAACCAATAATAAAAAGAACAACAAACCATTGTGGAGCTATATTATACACAATAGATATTTACGACGTTGAAAGAAAAAAACAAACGAAACGGGAATTGAAAAGAATTCTTAATATAAAAGAAATACAAAGCACACCAATTTTGTTGGTATTTACAAAAACCGATTTAAAACCAAATTTTACTTTTAAAGAAATAATTAAATATTTCGAATTAGACACTATTAAAAATAGAGTCTGGTCTTTTGTATTGATTAATAAAAATAATGCAGATGGAATAAACAAAGGATTCGAGTGGATAAAAAAACGTGGAATAACTATATTGTAAGAATTATTATATATTTAACTGAAGATTATTTTTAATAAAAGTTTAATAAAAAAGTATATGTCTATATATGTTTTGTTTATTTGATACTTATATAGGGGTCATATAAATTGGTTGTTTTCCATCAATTAGTTGAAGATTTTGGTAGAACTTCGAGAACATAAAAATGTAATTTTTATTGAATAATTACGATATATTGCTTTCCATTAACAAAGGAAAAACCTTATCTGCACTTTTGAGAAACTGTACAAAAATATTAAAACGTTCTAATTATATAAACAATTTGAACTATTTATAATAATAGATAAATATAAATAATCTATATTTAAATACAATAAAAATAGAATAACAATAAAACATTAAGAAAAACAATCATTAAATAGACTTTCTTAATCAGTCATACTGTTATAATAATCGACAGTGGAAAAAAGAATCCTCTCAATCTACGATTCGTGGAAGGCAAAAGACCGTCTTGAAATAATAGTCAGTGCCTTCAAGCAATCAGGAATAGCTTTACAGTATGCTATTTTCGACGGACTTATTGTCCGTATCGTCATGGCGGACTTGTTGTCCGTATCATTTACAGACATTGATTGTTTTTTGTTTATTTAGTTTCATTCACAGTTCAACTCTTACTTTTTATTAATATTAAATTGTTTCATTTTCAATATTTTTTTACATGATTTATTGTAAAAATATAATTTTTTCGTATCAACATTTAAAATACATGGAAATATGTGATTTAAAAATATTTCACAATAATTAAAAAAATAATCAATAAAATTTTAAAACCGAATGACTAAAATACAATATATAATATACAATATTGTATTTTTAAACACGTGTAAATAAATGTTTATTTTTTCAATTCAAAATTAACACTGATTTGTATTTTTCAAGTTAAAAAAAATTTACAATTTGGTGTTTTGCAATATTTCAAAAAGCATTATTTTACATGTTTTGAATTTAAGTGTCTGGTGTTTTACAATCTACGTTTCAAAAATTAAAGAAATACGAATCTTGATTTAAAAATAATATTTTAAGAGCAAAATCAATACATTTTTATTTTTAAATAAAAACACGATTTAAAATTCTTTTTAGGATTTTTTCATTTGTGAAAGTTTTCGTTTTAAACTTAAATAACAATTGAATATAAACTATACATTGGGTTTTTGATGTTTGTAAACAAAAATAATTTTACAATGATGATTGAAATATATATTTCGGGAAAAATTAAATGATAAAATGATACAGTCATGCGAAAAAGTTGTCGCGTTTGGAAAAACCT